GCCTGTATCCGCCACGCAGTCAGCTTTAGCTGCGGAAGATTGTGGTGGAGCACAGGCGACTGAGACAGCTGGAGCCGGTGGGAATTGGTGATACATTCCGGCCGACAGTTCCAGGACTGTGGAGAACCACGGCTGCCTTGGCCACCAAGGCGCTATCAGGATGACGTCTGCGTTTTCCTCGAGAATCTTCCTGACAACTCTGAGGAGTAGTGGCAGGGGGGGAAACATGTAGAGTAGTGAAGTGGACCATGGGTAAAGGAGGCCGTCCCCGAGAGATAGGGGGTCGCTGCCTCCTCGACTGCAGAAACGTTGACATTTGGTGTTGTCCCTGGTCGCAAAGATATCCACTAGGGGAGTCCCCCACCTGAGGGTGGAGACAGGTATGCGGGGTTTAGTCCCCATTCGTGCAGACTGAGTCCCGAGCGGCTGAGTTGGTCCACTTCCGTGTTCAGATGTCCCGGAATGTAAACGGCGATGAGGAATATATCATGGGCGATACAGAAGTCCCACAGGACGATGGCGAGATTGCAGAGGCGCACTGATACTGTGCCTCCCTGTCTGTTGACGTATGACAGAGCAGGATGTCCGTCAGGATGGTGACACATTTTCCGGCGAGTAATGGGCGGAAACTGGTAACAGCGTGTCGTATGGCCATCAGCTCTAGATAGCTGATGTGACGACGACCAGTACGGTCGTCCCACATGTCTCCTATGGAGATGTCCATGGAGTGAGCTCCCCATCCCTGCAAGGAAGCATCTGTCATGACCGTAATCTCTGGAGACGGAGGGTGGAAGGGGCCCCCGTGAAGCAGATTGGATGGCAGGGTCCACCATTCCAAGGAATCCAGCACTACGGAAGGAGGGGACAGGACGACCTTGTGTGGGTTCATCGTCAAGTCGTAATTGCCGAGGAACCACAGTTGCAGCGGGCGCATCCTGAGCTTCGCAAAGACGAGGACTGCCGTTGTGGATGCCATTAGACCAAGCAACTGCTGGACCTGGAAGGCCGTAGTTGACAGTTGGGTACGCACCAGGTTGGCCAGAGTGATGATATCTGTGGCCCTGTCCTGAGGTAGGCAAGCCATGCACGAGGTGGAATCCAGGATGGCACTGATGTATTGAATCCGCTGCAGTGGACGCAATTGGGACTTTGGGTGATTGACCATGAGGCCAAGCGTGGCCAGAAGGGACAGAGCTTCTTCGACATTGGCGAGCAGTACCTGTCGTGATGAAGCCACCAGCAGCCAATCGTCTATGTACGGGTAGACAGATATCCCTCTCAATCGTAGGAAGGCTGCAACAACG